TTTCCTTCTTTCTGTCTCGCAGAATGACTTCAAGTTCAACACGGTCTAATTCCATTCCATTCGAATTCTTAACAGTTCTTATCCGATTCCGGCGCCGTCTTACTATCTTTTTGGTAGTTTTCTCCTACAGATACCCTCTTTTCTGGGGACTTCCTCTAAAAAACCTGCCGCATGCCGTGAAGCGGCGAGTTCTCCATGACTCCGTGGGAGTGACCGGGTGTAGTTCATATTCGTGTTTCTGCGATTGCAGCGGAAGATTCTTCGGAAGCGATGGCACACGCGCGGCAATCTCATCAGCACCCCAATGATTCATTGTGGGAATGATGCAGTGTGTCTGACCTTTCAGATAGGAACACTTCTTGTCTGCGTCTCGGTGCCCCCACTGAAATATCCCGAACTGCACTCGACTGAGGTTGTCTCTCTTCAGACATACTCGAATTCTCTAACCATAAGATGCGGCAGGCATGGCTGCGTACTTGTTTGAACACTAGGGCAGCTGTTCTTCTAGAGATATTTTCATTTTGGGACACTTGTAATCACGTCTTTGCCCACCACAAGACAAGATGACAGCCGTCTCAACTTGAAACGTCTTACGAATGGCCCATCGTACTCGATATTCAAGTAAATTACGTAGACACTCCTACTGCCTCTCAGGGTTATGAAGTGTATGTTGACACCTGATTCCATCTTTCTGAAAAGCCCTGTTTGTTCCAATCTGAACCCTGCACTACCGAGTTCCATATCGAAGAATTGATAGTGGAGCATTTAGGAACGGTTGGGACCAGGAGCGTTCAGTTCTTATCCCTGCGACGGAGTGGGCGTGGCATTTGAGCATGGCACAGCTCGTGGGATATTCCAGTTTGAGGCAAATGTCACATTGTTCTGCGTTGGACAGAAACGCGAGCACAATTGCGCCAATCTGAAGATAGCTCTCGAAAAGCACAGCCGCAGCCACTGTAGTTGAAGTACGCAGCCACGCCTGCCCACATAGGGATTTCTAGTGTAATGAACAAGAGGAAAAGACCGGAACTCTGAGGGGGATAAAATGGTGAAAAATGTCTCAATCTGTTTCGCTGCCAAGAAGTAGGAATGTTATTGTAATACTTCTAACAAAAACTGCTCTATTTTCTGGGGATTATGAGGCGTTCGTGTACCTTCGCTTATAACGCCGCGACTATTCCTTCTGGTTTTCCTTTTGTTTATTTTTTGTTTTGACGCTCATTCATGTCAATGAGGAAACTGACAGAAAGGTTTTGAAATCTATTAAGAAGACTGAAAGGTACAAAAAAATTGGAAAAGCTATTGAAGGGCTGAAAATTTTCGCGCGTATTATCGCGTGCGTCTGTGCGACCGTGCAAATGAAAGCGCCTTGTATACCCCAGAAGGGCTAATTAAGAAGTGGTTTTAATGGTGGATACGGGAGAGGTATGTATAAAAGAAGGAAAAGGCACGGCTTGCATCTCGAATCAATCAGCAACGTTGTGTATTAATTTATTCGCATATTTTTCCTTCGAAAGGCTTTGCAACCCTTATGAATATTTCTGCCCTTACAGGTGAAGAATGTGTCCGACTCGGCATTGAAGTCACGAAAAGGCGGCAAGACACATTCACTGGACGATTACGAAGACTACGAGGTTAGTTATCAGCCTGTTCTTCCGATGTTCTACGTTCCAACGTCACGCCCTGCTTGTAGTTGATGGATCGAGGACGCCTTCCAGACGAAGAGGACGCCGATCTGTTCCGAGTACCGGATACCGCTGGTGGAGCTGGTTTCGTGCCATCCGGTTCAACTGACAGATGGCTAGATGGTACAAAGGTGTGTTACGCTTCATTTCGGATGACATGACGATCTCTGCTGAACGGACTTTTTTCAGTACCGTGTCGGGGACTGCCTGCCGTACCGTGGAGAGGCATGCCGGCAATTCTTGAGTGGGCGGAGTGTGATGATGACAAGTGAGAGTCGAGAAGATATGTATGATATTGGTGAGTCATCATACCATTTGTAAGATTTTTTAGACTTTTCCGCCAACGCCCACGGAACAGGTTCATGTGGCGTTTTCGTATCAAAAAAGCTTTCCTGGGCAAAGTTCGTCTTGGGGGGGGGTGGGGTGGAGAATTTTGCTGGTTCCCATCGGCCTCATTTGGATGCGTGTGGAGTCCTGCAAAGGTATGCAACAGCATGACATCCTATTCTTTTTGACAAGAGCCTAGAGATCTCACCAAGATGAGGCGTGTAATTTAAAGGCACAGTCCGCTATAAAAGCTCCAGGTGATTTTGCAGAAATGTGGAAGAAAATTCGCCAAGTGAACCATCTATGAAGAGAAAATGCCAAAGGGAACGTTGGAAACGCATTCGTCAGGCCTCCTCTAGCCTCAAACAACTGTAGAGGTAAAAGACCGAAAAGACCGCGCGCTGGGACAATTCCCGTCGGCTGATTCCCAGTAATGAACCCTATGACTCTACAAGAGACATTGAATGCATCCACTCCATGATACTTGCCCGGGAGCATTACTTTTGGCTGGAAGGCCGACTTTGGAGGCGGAGTCTGGAGGCGGAGTCAGTGGAAAAAGTGAAGCAACTTTGCGCCTTAATCCCTTTACCGTACAACTTTCCGCCGCGAAACTGGCACAGGGTTGTCCACTCCGGACCGCACTACCTTCCCACATAACCTCTTGCATTTTCATAGGTCATCGCAGACCGCTCCTTTAATAGGAATTGCCAAAAGAAACTAGCGAAAGAGGAAAATGCCCCCTCCGAGCCAAACAGCACCATATTACAGATTGAGACGCTGTAGGGTTCACATTTTTTCACTTGATCTTTTCAGATAGAAACCTGCGGGCGGCCATGATGTTCATCAACGGTGCCCCGACGATCTCGCAACAGTGTCGGCAGATATCGACGAACGTCGCCTGCTTCCACATGTACAAAGTGTGTGACCCGAGGTCTTCCGTGGAGAACCGACGAGTGCTGAGCGTCTGTAAAAAGGACTGTGATGAGATTCAGGTGAGAATAGGGTATTGGTTTGCCCTCCATGCCTTTCTCCTATCTTTCCTCACTGTGCTAGCTCTCTTTCACATGCCGCCGGTGAATCCCTATAGGTCTAACGGTGCTCTTACCCCTACTTTTATTCACGTCCTCCGCTACTTCTGGTGTTTCAGTACTTTTAAAGGTACTAACCCACTCATTGCTTCCCCCTGTCCTTTAAGGTTCATTCTCTTGCAAAAGAGGAGGGAGAAGGTGCGATACGAAAGGTGGTATCGATGTGGTAAGAGAACTCGACAGGTCAAACTTTAACTCACACAGTCTCCCAGCATGGCAATGACGGAGGCCACTTTACTCACACAGTCCCCTGCATTGACTTGAAGCCAGGCCGGCAGATCGAACTATTGCCTCCCTTCTGAGCATAAGAAGTGGGATAAATGAGAAAGTCATCTGAGGAAAAAAGAGGGAATAACCTCTTTCTCACTGGTTGGGAGGACAAAGGGTTACTTCTCATTGGCTCATACTTGCATAAAGGAGGTGAATAGGGACCAGTCATTGTTTACTATGTGCCCAACATCCGTTTAGGATCATTATTGTCTTTAAATGCGCACTTGGATAAAACTACTGCATATCGCCCATACAGGAGGACGAAGGGAGACGTCAGCGACGGCGTGTACCCGTGCCAACTCTCCTCGCTCTCTTCCTTTCCTTCGTTAGGACCCTCACCGCTCTCACAGCTACGCCATCTATTGCCCTCAGATATGGTCTGTATATGTACAAGTTGGTGTTTTTGTTCCTCGAACGAATCTTATGCGGGCAGTCGACCCGTAAGGGATTCGATCAGAGATTTAACCTCAGAGCTGGATTATGGTAGCTGTAACTGTAAAGCTATTCCACCTCGGTCCCGCCCCATGATGCTCAAGCAGTCCCTAGCCTCGCTATAAAAGATGTTGAAAGTAGATGGAGAAACTGGGGTTCACTTTAGAGTATACGGAAACTTTTACAATTTTTACGTGTTCTATGGCCATCATGCAGTGTAAAATACCGAACTGGTGAAACTTTTTATCGTTTCCTGTGATCTTCTAACATCATGGGAGATCCTTCGATCTTGTTTATTGATCTCACATCGGCTATCAACGATGTATCCATTCCTCACATCTATCCTGCCTTAATCAATTTTTATTTGGTTTTTCTTTTATTTTTCCTGTTCGTTTCATTCTTTTCTTGCCTTCCTCGTATACTTTTTTTTACTTTTTCTGAAACCTTTTTTTCCAAACAGAGAGGTTTCTTTTTTCGAGTTGGATTTTCCTGCAGTAGTTCTCAGTGCCTTCAATATTTATCTAAAAATATATAGCCTTTGGCTTCCTGAAATCGTATGACCACAATAATGAGGCCTTACTACTTACTTTTTGCTTCTCTCGCACAGATCTGCTTAGCTTTTATAATAACCATATTTTGTTTTTCTAACTATGAATCTTGTAAGAATATTTATCACATTTTCAGAATCGCTTGTGCCCGTCGGAATTGGCGTTGGCTGCGCAGCACGAGCTGGTGGGTGACGGTCCAAAAGCTCTCTTTCCACACTGCTCGGCCCTCTCGTCGTCATCCAATAATTGTATTGGCGTTCTCGACTCTCCAACTCCCGTGGTAGGTTCACCTTTGTGATTCCACCCTTGTTCACCTGAGTCAGATGTTTTCTGAGCGTCTAATGCGCTATGAATCATACAGATGCCAATCGAGTCGGAGATCCCACGTGGTCACCTAACGCATTTCTGCTATGTGGACAGTGGGAAGCACTACGAGGGTGCTGCCTCCACAACCGTAACAGGAAAGACGTGCATGAACTGGAATGATGCTCCTTCAAGGTACTCCACTTGCTTAGTAGATGTTTTGCTTTGACTCATCGGGGGTGGGGGAAGGGAGGAAGTAATTTTGCTGGTGATATATAGTTCAGATCGCGACAGCTTTCCTGGACTTTTGAAATGAAATGCGCGTTTCAGGGAATACAACGTCGCCAGGTATCCAGAGCTGCTCTATGCCAAAAATTACTGCCGAAATCCTGGAGGAAAGAAGACGAAGCCTTGGTGCTACTCGCAACCACTGGGTCAGGAGGAGTACTGCGATGTGAGTTCTCCCCATGATTTGCTACGTTTGTTTGTTTCTCCTGAAAACAAGGTGTACTGAGCACTCGTGACCTGCACTGAGTCCCGCCCACTGGGAGCGGGGCCGAAGGTGAAAATTCCTAGCAGGGTTCCAGAGCAGCCCAGGAGATGCGGGGAAAAATGGACGCGAGCGTTTCGAAACGCGGCACAACATAATAAATGGAAGAAGACAACCTCGAGCAGCGGCAGACGCACTCGAGATGAGCGGTGCGTCTCATATAATCTAGTATTCGGTTTTCGGGAGAGTTTGGAAATCGCAAAAAAATGGAGAAGAAGTGGAACATCTGGCGAGGGCTGAGCATGTCTGTCGTGTGTTGAGACCCGCTCACCGCAGTACCCTCAAGTATGAGGTAAAATTGTGGTTCGGTTCCAGAGCACTCCAGAGATCGGAAAGAAGTAAAAGTTGGCAAGGGTACGGCGGTTGAGAGTGGGAAGACATGCCCGCTGTGGGCGGGGCGTGCGCCGAGGTGGGTGGACTGAACCTATGGGAGTGGGTCAGCAAATGAACTTGTTGTTACCCTTCATTAAGTACCTTTTGAATCAAGAGCGTTGCGTTTCTTGCTGTTTTATTTCCACACCTGATTTTGTAACAAACTAAAAATTTGTCTTTCCAGATCCCTCAGTGCTCCAGAGATATGTTCCCCCATTTGAGCGATAGCAATACCAACACGGGTAATACAAATGTGAGTTGAATATTTTTCAGTCCTTTTGATTCGTATGATTATAAGCGCTCCACGACTATCATATTCAGGTGGCTCTGGGAGATTCATTGACGTCCATGTGGGAGAATCTCGCTCCACATTGGCAGCTTGCTGTGGTTGGGGGCGGCGTTCTGTCTCTTCTACTCTTACTGCTCCTGTTCTGCTGCATTTGCTGCTGTCGAACGCGGAAAAAGAACTCTGCGAAAGGTAGAGGCACATCTGCTGCTCATTCTCTCCTACCTGCTACAAATCCTCCATCTGTTGTGAATAGGTGAGTTTTTCTGAGAAGCGTCGTGAGTTCACGTTGATGACGTTGATTTTTCAGCGCTGCGAATTCTGCTTACTATCAACGGAAAATGAACGGCACTTCCACACCGATTATGTCCCGTGCTGGAATCGGCAGTGGTCCGATGGAAATGGCCTCACTTCTACCATCACATGCCGTTCCACCACCATACGGCGAACCTTTTCACGTACCTCATGATCCTCACGCTGATGAACCCTATCACATATTGGAGATTCCGGCAAATCAGGTGGGTGCTTTTCATTAGGAAACGAACAAACAGTTGGTAAGGTATAACGTTTCAGATCAAAGTGGGCGATCTTCTAGGAGAAGGGCAGTTCGGAGTGGTCTACAAAGGCTTTTGGACAGGAGGCTTGATTAATGGCGATCCTCTTCAGGTACGGAACTCCCCTTGCTATTCGAGGAAGCCTGAAATTCACTAGTTCTTTTTAGGTAGCCATCAAGTCAGTTCGTGCCGATGCAACCAATGCTGATCGGGCCAGCCTTGAAGAGGAAGTGAGAACTGTGGCGTCGTTTGATCATCCTCACGTCATTCGATTACTGGGTAGGTTCTCTTTGAGAATTCACTTGGTTTTCACGACTCATGAATTAAGGGGTTTAGGTGTCGCTTATCTGAATGGCCGGTTATCAGCTGTGTTCGAGTACATGGTTAACGGTGATCTGCACGAGTTCCTCAGAATACGTGCTCCATCTCATCCCGATCACAATCCAGCCGACGACAGTAATGACTTCATGAGCATAGCCACTCAAGTGAGTTCATTACGCTGACAAGGTTTTTGTGTACAAATTGTAATTTTTCCGACATTTGCTCGAATGTTACTAAAATCGGGTTTACTTAACGCGATGATTTTTTGATGATATTCATTACCTGTTAGCAAAAAGCTTTGGGATAAGGAGAACATCCCTTGATAGTGATACCGGTTGTTTTATGGGGATTCCACTTT